TTTTTTTTTATTTCGTATTCTTGAGTTACGGAAACATCCTCATTTTAGAACTAATTTTTTCTCTTACTTCAACTTGAACTCAGCATTGCATTCTTTGATGTGCATTTTGCGTTGAAAGTGTTCAGTTCGTAAGATGCAATAAATAATTTGGATACAGATAAAAAAAATTTGATGCTCTCAAATTAAAGCTTTTTTTTCCATCCGATGGTGAAGCTTCCATTATAATTTGTTTTGATGATAATTAATTTACTATTAACCCTAGAACTAACCTTCGTCTAGAAGACTACGGCTTTAACAAATAACCTTCCTCCCCCCTTTCCAAATTAAAAAAAAAACGAAAATGTAACGTGCAACTCAATTCCTTCATATGACCTTGGCTACTACAGATAATGATACCCAAAATATTTTCGCTATAGTATTTTTAGAAAATGTTAGTTTTAGAGACGAATTAAAGCAGTAACGTTTGGGAAATTGGAATCTTAGTTTTTTTTGCTTTTGAGATGATGTCAAAACGTTTTCAGAAGAAAAATTTTTTGGGTTAAAACTGAGGGTTTTCAAATTTTTAAAATAGTTAATTTATGATGATAATTTTATTTTTTTGGGTGAATCGAAAAAGAAAATTTTATTGTTTTTAAAAACAAATTTACAGATAGCATGATAAATATCAGTTGAGTGAATGCATATGTTATATATGTACATAATATGGCTCACAAATCTGAAAAAGCATTATTCGGAAGAAAGTTTGTGATATAGATAAATGAAAATCTTCTTGCGCCATGGGTGAAGAAACGTATAAATGTATCAACTTTGTCCCGATCAACAAGGACAATTATCAGTGAACTTTAAAATTGGAGCAAAACATTGAACCACCTGAACAATTGGGAACTAAAAAAAGAAATCTGTGACTTTTGCCCATATAAGTTGCGTAGAAATACACGAAAATTTTGTTTATCATGTTCTAAAGCAATGTGCGCATAGCATCACACTAAAATGCATAAAATTGCTTCGAAAATAAACAAATTTTACTTTCTTGCTTATGTGAAGATTGGATGTCATGACATCATCTGCATGTAGTATAACATTTTTGTTATTAACTTTTAAAATGAGTTTTGAGCTTGCTAAAACGAGACGAATGTTATCATTCCCGTAAGTTTTTCAAAGGGTAGCTTCCTAGGTTAAAAAGGTAATATTGATCCAGTGCATTATAAACATACACTCTTGTTGCCAAGTAGCGATGAGTAGTTGTTAGGTAGTAGTCTTATTCCTAATTTCAGTTTGAATTTTTATATGTTGTATGTACTTTTGGATTGAATTTTCACTGTACACTAATTTTAATTTTCTTTTGTAATAAAAATTAAATTTTTTGCTTTTATAAGTATGCAGCATGGATTTCATTATTCCTTTTTTCAATGGTGTTTTTGGGGCAAAATAATTAGTTTTTTCATTTACATTTCACTATTTTTTAAGGCTGAAGAAATTATCCTCAAATTTACCATATGTTGCATACATTTTTTTATACGATTGTTTTTGCAAGGTTTTCGAAGAAACGTATCTACCATGTAAAAAAAGAGTTAGGTGTGTTTGCAAATATAAGCTTGAGGGCAATTAAAAGAAAAGATCCTGCAAATAGGAAACATAAAATAGATAATTAGATACAACACAACTTTTACTCAATATCTATCTAACCATAAATTTAAACTCAGCGTATCAATCTTTGCGTCTGTGTCCTGTTCTACCTGAACCCGGGTTAAATATAACAACCATTTTACTAAGATAATATTATCTTAACCCTTTATCTACCAATGTACCACCTACTTTAAAATTACATAGAATAACCCTTTTTTTGAATACTCTGCCGATACATAGCAAGAATATTCTTTTAAATCCGTTCTTTCAAGATATATGGCAGCATGGGTTCTATGATGAGTATTTTAGCGAGGAAGATGAATAATTTTACAGCAGAAATTGCTTTTTAAGCGGATTACGGAGATTGTAATTTTTGTTCCGAAAAAGTAGTTAATGTCAAAAAGTGTCTATTTTTGTATGTTAATGAAGACCTTAGAAAACGACTTGACTATCTATTTTAAGTGAACATTGTGTATAATTAATTTTACAGTTGATATCTTTAATTAATTTATTAGCTCTAACGGATTAAATTTCCCGAAATTGAGTATTTTGTTTATGTATATCCATTAATTTTCGATGTAGTGATTCAAAAAAATGCTTGAAAAAAACTGTAGTAAATCATAATGCAGTAGATAAATGTTTAATATATTCAAACAGATATCTACTTAAATTTTTTTTAAAAGAATCATTAAATAACTTCTTGTTTAGACAAGAATGCCAAGCTTGACACATAGTATTTTTTTTTTAAAATATTCTTCTGTGAGAAAGCATACATATTCACAAAAAGCAAAAGAAAACACATATTGGAGAAACTAAAAAAAATTTAAAATACTTCTTTCAAGAAAGTCACAAGTGTTGATGTACTGCTGAAAGTAAAGTAAAAAAATACACACCATCAGCACAGAAGAAAAAGAGTTTTCACCGTGTGACGTCCATCATCTAAAATCATGTGACAGCTTTCTTGAGAATATCAAATCTAGAGAATTTAACTTGAAGTTTTGTTACAGAAGCTTTTTTCGACTTTCGAAGAAGTTAGGATGAGGATGACTTTTTTTCTCCTTATAATGTAAAAACGTTCGCTTTTAAATAGTAAAGACGTAATATGAATAGTCTAGTGTGTACTTATTGTATGCAATAGACATGAACAAATATTGTAGCTCTTCTGGGATATTATACTAAAAAAAATGTTTCTTCAAACGAAAAAAAAATTCAGAACTAGTTTAAAATTTTTAAGCAGAAAGATTTTAAATCTAGTTTTTCAGTCCGTATTTATTTTTCTACAATTATTAATTCAATTAATTCAATATTAACTGTTGTAAATATTTTTTATTTATTATATTCAAAAAGTTACAACACATTTCTAAAATTAAATTATTTGTAAATCTTCACTACGAATATTGTAGCTTCTGTAATATTTAACTAAAAAAATATTTCTTCAAGCGAAAAAAAAATTCGGAACTAGTTTAAAAATTTTAGGTTTAAAGATTTTAAAGTTAGTTTTTCAGTTCGTACTTATTTTTTTTACAATTTACTGCTATAAATATTTCTTTTTATTATATTCAAAAATTTAGAACACATTTCTAAAACCAATTATTTATAAATCTTCACTACGAATTATGTAGCTTCTGAAATATTTTACTAAGAAAATGTTTCTTCAAACAAACAAAAAAATTCAGAACTAGTTTAAAATTTTAGGTTTAAAGAATTAAAATTAGTTTTTCAGTCCGTATTTATTTTTTTTACAATTTACTGTTGTAAATATTTTTTTATTATATTCAAAAAGTTACAACACATTTCCAAAACAAATTATTTATAAATCTTCATTACTGGATCAAACAATAAACAGAATTATATAAATGCTTCATTTTTAGTTTTTATTAAGTGAAGCTATTGTTATGTTTCTCGCTGAAAAATAAATCGATTAACTCAGAAAAAAAATATTGGAAACATAAAGAATTTTTTTTTTTAAATAAAAAAAGGTTAGTTTCATATGGAAACATATTTTACAACAATTGTGAAATCTATAAAAAAAGAAAAACAAATACAAATAATTACAGAGAGTAATTTTGAACTTAAAATGCAAGAGATATTAATTCATAAGTACAAAAACCTTTTTTTAAAAATTTCAAAATGCTAGATTTATGACGCTTGAATAGAAAAGTTTTAAATTGCGAAACAATAATACTTTTTACTTGAATAAATGAAGTTTATTCATAGCCTTTGGCTCCTTTTTGTAAAAAAAAAATAATTTGTGAAATTTCAACTAAATAATAATTTTGTAACATTATTCTCTCTTCACAAATAATATCCTTTCAAGAAATTTTGGTTCAGTCCTAGGGGGAGCCCACACCCCTTTGGGGCGAATTTTTTGGGTTAAAAATTTGGGGCCCTTTTGGGAACCCTACTTTGATACACAGGGTATGGTAAAACCCATATTTGAAATTTCGTATTTTGTCGGCGGGCAATTTCAATTTCATTTTTTTTTTGGGGAACCGGGGTGGGAAAGGTTACGGGGTGAAGGAATATATCTTAGAATTTTTTCTTTGTTGAATGCGAAAGGTTAGAAAGAATTGATTGAATAGGGATGAAGGAAGGATCTAGTTAGAGTTATGAATGTCCTAAAAGTAACGATCGGCATGATGTCATGGGCGACAATAAAAAAGCTTTCTTCGAAATTGCACCAGCCACGCCGAAGGTTGTTCGACCATTACCTCGCAGAATAAAATGGCGGCGCTCACACGATCATTCACTTAGCGATGAGACCTTCAAGACTTTAAAATCTGTCGTTACGCGTATCCTCCACCGAAAAGATCGGCAGTAAGGAAGTAAGTGCTGTTTTTATATATTTTTTTTATCTTAAATGCTTAATGTCTGATTTTTACATATATTTTTATTACGCATCCACTTTATCTCTCTGTATTCACTTGCGGCCATTGTCGGTTTCGCTTGGCGTCATCTCTTTCTGGCTTGGCATTTTTTTCGTTTTGTCGCCAAGGGTGTGGGCTCTCCTAGGATTTTACCGAAATTTTAAAAATAAATGTGTTTTATTCAAATCCGAAATTTAGCAAAAAAAATGATAGTCCTATTCTAGAAGTGGTCTAAGCTTCTTCAATTCCTACTATTAGTTCACTTTCTCCTTATATGTATATATATATATATATATATATATATATTATTCAAACTTTCAATCGTTAATAAAATACTTTCTATTCATCCATTCAAGTTCAAATACATTTTTTAAAACTTCTAGTGGATGACACTTGATGTTAATACAGTTTTTTAAATATTAGTTCATTAACTAAATAAAGAAATGAATAAATAGTAACAAAAATAACAGTCCAACAACATATATAGAAAGAATAATTCTTCGATGTGTCTCTGTAGTGCAATTGATAGCTTGTTTGACTTCTAATCCAAAGGTCGTGGGATCGAATCCCACCTGGGATGGCCTAATTTCTGAGAATGTAATTCCTTTTTTACTATGCTATTTTATTAGAATAATTTGATTATATATATATATATATATATATATATATATATATATATATATATATATATATATATATATATATATATATAATTAATGTGTATAAATAGTAACAAACAAACAAAACTATATATAAAGGAAAATGGAAAACTGCAAGGAAAAACGCTTTCTATTTTGTCACTTAATATTGTAATTCTGTCACATACATGTATATATTTATATTAAATTTGGTGTATGTATTCTGTGTCACGCATATGTATATTTTTATATTACTTGTTTCATTAACATTGAAAAATAAAAAAACGCGGAACTAAACAGTTTTAATCAAATTTGAGAAAATAACCTTTTGAGATAGTTTTTGCTTGAAAGATGCACAAATGTTACAGTAGTAAATAAAAGAATATCGCCTTTATTCATCCATCACTTTGTTTCATTGGTGTCATCATTTACACACACGATAAACTTTTGCCATTACCGTTTGCAAGATATATAATGCTTCTATAAGCAAGGAACCGAAATCTATTGCCCAAGAGGTTCAACCAGGTGCTTAGTTTAGAGAGTAAGTAAAGAAATCAGGAGATGTGTGTGTGTGTGTGGAAGATTTGCTTAATCTGTGCTAAAGCTTTTCACTTACTTTGCAAAAAGAGCGTGTTATAAATTTGCTGTCAAGCTCATTTTCGATCATATTCGTTTTGTGAAACATAGTTTAACACACTTAAGCTGAAGCTTAGTATACGGGTTCTTAAACTTAAGAACTTAATCTTTTGCTTAATTTTTATGTCTTAGCTTGCTTAGCCGAAGCAAAAAGGAACTTAAATGTAATATAAGCATCTTGTATTATACTTTTAAGATAAATTTTTTCAAACCCTTAGCATTAATTCTTCAGGAATTAATTCTTTTGAACTATTATACACACCACATTATTCAATACCTTGTGAAAATAAATATATCATACTATTAACCATCATTTTATTTGGAATAAATACTATTCATAGTATTAATCAGTATTTTTGTTTGTATAAATGGGAACTTTGTAAACAATATACATGTTTCAGTTTCCATGACTGACAACAGTTTGGAAAATATAAGAAGAAATAATTAAATATCATATTTCATTTTAGATATATGTTATCATGAACTTCTAAAAGGGGAATATATCCGTAGAATGTATTGCAAGCTATCTCTACGATTTAAATTAAAAATGACATTGAACATATGTAGGATTTTTTTGGGAAATGGGAACTCCAAATTCAATAGCTTTTGAATAATTTGTTGTTGTGAGTAAATAAGCAATACCATGCAACCATTGCAATTAAAGAAAGCTATATTTCTTACTTAAGAATATTGGTTTGATATCCTTTTTCGTGATCAGACAATATTTTGTACCATCGTCATTCTTTTAAATCTTTCAGACACTGAATTTTTCAAAAAAAATGCACTAGAGGGGAATGTTTACACAAATATTTTAGATAAACCTTACAAAACTATAATTATTAAACAAAAGCTGGTATATATTAAGAAGATTAAACATTTGTTCAAATAAATGGGGTACAAAGTTTAAAGAAATGGTGGTACATATTTTGTACCACCACGCTTCAAGTAGCTTGATAGTTCTGCACACATTTTTTCTTCCCTAGGTACAATGGAACTTTGCAGACACAACAAATCCATTCTGTACGAACTTGGATTGCTTTGAACTTGGGGGAAAATAAATAAATAAGCTTCTTCATCTTGTACTGTTATTCATCCTGTGCATTAAAACCTTTTCGGTTTTTCCAAATCTGGATGTCATAAGCTCAATTTTAGTTAAAGTTCACTAACTAATGTTACTTTAATTTTAAATATTCTATCTATATGTTTTATTTTACCTAGTTTTTATTTAATATATATATAATAAAAGTAAAAAATAAGCCGTATTTATTTTTTTCCGGGACGAATTTATATCATTAGCATTTGAATTTTGCATAAAATTATTATTTAATAATAATTATTATTATTTAAAAAAATATATAAATTACAAAAAACCTATTTGGCACAATAAACACGTCCAATATTGAGGAAAACAAGCGGAATGTACTTATATTGGTAAAGCATGGATTTTGTCAGCGTGGTGGTAACATTTTTGACCTCGTATATTTTCATATTAGTAATGTATATGTGAGACTAATTATTGTAATGCCTTATTTAGTTACATAATATGTGTACTTACCTTATTTGTATCAAATATCACAAGAATCACTTTCATTTACACTTAAAAATACACAACACAGTCACTTCCAAAAAACACCACTCAACAGATTCACAGCTGATCCAATAACGAACTACTGCATAAACCACTTGCATACAATTAGCTTCTGACATTATTTGGAAACTTGAGTAACTGCTAGGAGTTGACCTCTGTGGTGGTTCTGAGAATGTATACCATAGCATCAATTTCTGAGGCATTCCAACTAGTGATATGTACCACCACACAATAAATGAATAAGATCTGGTGGCACAGATGTATACATGTACCAAGCATGAAAAGTTAACATGTATCAAGCATGAAAGAGTTAATAAAGCAACTTTTTTTGCTTCGTTACATATTTTATACCTTTTTTGCTACTGTGTTTTCTGCATTCGTTTACTACATTATGTATCTGCAGTATGCTTTTCTTGTTTCGGAGTTGAGTGCTTGTGAATTTACTATGAAATTAGAAAACATTGCTTCAGTTTTTCACTCTTGTATAATTCATTACTTCCATTTGTTGGTGTTTCTATTCAAAAATGATGTATTAGATATGTGCCACTCTTAATAACACGATAGAATTTGTAACAGTTGTTGACACTTTTTCGTAAGAATTTTCCTTTCTGCCATACATTAGAAACATGATATTTTATACATTTTAATATTTTCAATGCTTCTCTTTGTGATATATTGTATCAATATCTACTGGAAATTAAGAACATTTCCCATTAATCTCTTACAAAACAATTGACCTCTTACTTTTTATATTTTTTAGCACATTAGTATATACTATATTTGAAAACAATCTTTTATTATGTGCAACCTTTCATTATTAGATACATTTTTCTACAATACCTAATTTGATTTAAAAGAAGTTTCTAAAGTTTAAAATTGTAGGTGTCAAACATAAGTTTTATAGAGTAGGAAACCACTATACTTACAGTGTTCAATTGGCTGTTTTCGATGTATCTTTTCTCAAAATCTGTTACATGTACATGTTTGAAATTTTCATACAATTAAATAAACCTTTTCATTATACTGAAATGAGCTTTAAATATACTCTTGAAATTTTTATTTATAAAATATTTTACCAAATATTATTTTATTTTATTTTATTTTGTTGATTTTATTTTTAAACCTATTTCATAAAAATTTGTAAAAATGAATTTTGAGTTTTTTTTTAAAAGGCTCGTTTTATTACTCCTATTAAATACTCATTATAAGTACATCATAAGAAATTTACATTCGTGAACAGTAGTTTCTCAGAAAAGGTACATCGAACATCAAAATTTGGCAATTTGAGATAAATTGATTTTAATGTAGTACAGTGAGATCTTCTAATCGGTGAGAAATAAAAATAAAAGCTCAATTAATAAAAGATACATGTTTTAGTTTATACCAGCCGTTCAACTTTTTAAGTAAAAAAACGAAGTACTTTTGTTTACATTTTTCGCCAGCTTATGAGCGCCCAGTTTCACCCATTACTTAAAAATAGGTTTCCAGGCTTCTAATTACCCTAAAAGGTTAAAGTGAAGGTATTTTTAGAAAGGTTAAAAAGCTACAATTTTGAAAATGTAAAAACCCTCAAATTGTCAAAAATTTAGCTTTTCAACACCTCTTAAGCAATTCTTTATTTACGCTCCCACTCTATTTTTTTTTCATTTTCCTCCAAATTTATTTGGATAATTATGAGCAATCTTTTTTAGAATCGAAGAAACCTGAGAACAGGTTGCTAGTACTTTATATGGCATGTTCCTTTTATACATTATTGCTGATTTTAATCATTTATAGGGCCCCTTTTTCTAGTAATAGTATGTTAAAGTATTTTTACATTGAGATTGATTTAAAAAGGGGAACTTCATTTAGCTTATTAGTACAATTAACTTGATTTTTAATCCTTTTTCCTGGTGTAAAATGTTTACAATCGTCCACAGCATGCATGTTATTGAAATGTGGAGCATTTTATGCGTTTTTGATCCTTTTATATTTCTTTGCATATATAATTTATAATATATTTTGTATATACTACAATCTGAGAAAAGGAATTGCGAAACAGATAAATTTCTATTCACAAATTGTAATTGGGAGGAAGAATTTTCATATTCGTCATACTTCCAATGAATTTAGGAATACAAGAAACAACATGTAGTAAATACCACAATCTACAAAGTATATTTTGTAGAAGGTATAGGTATGTAATATGCAAAAGGAATTTTAAATTAAATAGAGAAAATTGAGGCAGATATTAGATTGACTAATTTGGTAGTAAGTATACCTCCCATGACCTTTAAAAGTGAGAAGACTAATAAATTAGAATTAATGATATAAAATTATTATACCAGCTATTAAAAGAAAACTTTAGTATGAATGTAGAATACATAGCACACACACACACACACATTTCAGCTTTAAATTAAATCTTTATACATACTTATTCAACCAAACAATAATACAATACAAGATTTGTAAAATGTTTTTAAAAGTTTGCTTCTTTATAAAATAGTCGACCTAAATCGATAGTTTGTCTATTTCTTTCCATCCATGTAAAGAAAAGTTGGTGAAACATGCTCTGTCGTAAATTTGGAGTCGAGATGGAAAACCCAGTTTAATATAAATTAACTGAAATTAGGATATTTTCATCTTGATACTTTCCAACTATGAGTATACGTGCTTTGTAAAGAGAGTGTAGGTAATAACGCTTATTTTACCAGTATCTTAAGAAATGCTATGGCC